TTCAACTGGGTATCCACCATTTCAGTTCTTTGAAGTGGTTAAAGCCATTGCGCGGACTTGAACCGAGGCCGAGTCACTGATAATATGCCTGTGCCAAAGGAACCCTCGCCACGTGGCTGACTTTGGGCCTATAAGCCTCTTGTGTGTTATGTCGAAAATTCCTGGAGAGGCTTACTCATGCGCAGTTTGTCGACTGCATAGAATACAGATTGTGGATAAGTATCAGTCGGGTTTTCCCGAGAGATACAGCACACAAAGTGCCCTCCCGCGCATACTGGACGATGCAAGGGAGGCCATTAAGTGCCAAGAAGTCACCCTCTTATGAGCATTTGATGATGTCAACCACGGTATCCTCGGCAACAAACTCAAACACCTGAGTTGGTCTGATTTGGCGTGCTACTGGGTTCAATCTTATCTGACTGGACGTACGCCGCAAGTAGTTGGACCTCGCAGTGAGAAATCTGTGACTTTGCCAAGGACGGTGGGTGTCCTGCAAGACAGCATTTTGGGGCCATTGCTCCACGCGCTGTATGTCAACGACCCCCTCATGTCTTGAAGAACTGCAGGCATTACATTTACGTAGAAGACACTACCATCTACGTCCATAGACTAGTCACTGATGTGCAAAGACTGGGGGGGTGGGGCCTTTCTGGCCTAAATCACTATTCTATCGCGGACTCTCGGGCTAAAATCCAATCGTGTAAAATTTATTTCTAAAAACCGAAAGAAATAAGCATAATGTTTTAAAATATAATGTATTTATTACAAATTTCTATAAAAAAAAATTATCATTTGCTCGGTGGAGGTAATGTTGCATTAGGAAAAATTAAGTACCAATCGAAATGTCAGAAAGAGATTAAATACGAAAGCCAATAAATACGAAAGTTGATTGGATCGAAAAGAAAATTTGCCGAAAGCCAAGCGTACGAAACTGAACAATACTTGCTGCTCATTGGTTTTCACCAATTTTATTATCAATTTGTTAATGTTTACTAATGAGCAGCAAGTATTGTTCAGTTTCGTACCCTTGGCTTTCAACAAATTTTCTTTTCGATCTAATCAACTTTTGAATCGTTTAGCATTTTTAATATGCTTTTATATGGCACAGGACAACGACAAGGAGATCACTTCGAATTATGTGATTTACACTGATTTCTTTTCTTTTTTGTGGTATTGGTTGTAGCTATGCCGCGTCTGCTTTTCTGTACCTACGTAGTTCTAATGAGCCATGAAAGATTTTTGTCCTTGGCAACTCAATCACAATCAAATGCTAAAACTAATTCTAATTATAATTATAATTATAATTTTGAAATTTAATAACCGCTTTGCTAGGAAATATTAATGATACCTCAGAGACACACTGTACTTCAAAAAATTTTCTCGCAAAACGCAATTGCAGTTTTTATGGCTGTAATCATTCTGACTATAGAGGCCCGTGGTAGCTCAGCTATTCTAAAACCTAGCATAATACTTTAACGGAATACCAATTTCTGTGTAAACTACCTGCGTAGGCTACTACCGTTTTCACTGAAAACGTACATGGCAAATCTCCTTCTCATCAGTGCATTTTCAACACCGAATTTTACATGAAATGTACTATCATACTTCAATCGTCTAGGAATTCGTTTTGTGGCGGGTGGTAATTTCAATGCCAAGCACCCTTGGTGGGGCTCTAGACTTCAGGTGCCTAACCATACTGTCACAACCTCTATTCTGACACTATATATTGGTGTAGAGTTGAGTGTCCGTTGGCTCGGTCTTCGTGGAGGTACGTGAAAAGGCGGGAAAGCTTGAGAAAAGTAAAGGTCGAAGGACGCTTTTTTCTTTGGTAGTCTTCGACTCTGAGCGCAGAGAAGAACTGATTTTTATTTTAATATCGATCGGCTTCAACTGCCGCAAAAACCCGTTACAAAAATACCCCCTTACATTTATTATTTACTTAATTACGCGCCTTAATTCGGTCGCGCTATACAATTATTATTATTACTTTCACTCTACATACAACGTAAGACGCGTATCAGCGCCAGCGCTCACACACACATCAATATAGAAAATACTCCACGGTATTTTACTGTTATTTTGGGCTTGAATCCCAATGATTTCAATGCGAGCAGTTGCTCCGACCATTTTCCAGTGCTAATTCACATCTCTTGTCAATTACTCCATAACTACACCATTACCTACTTTCAACAAACTGGTCAACTTACAAGAAACATTTAAATAACTCAATTAATTGCAATATTCCTCTTAAAATCAACAGCGGTATAGATACTGCAATGAATAATTATTCCCAATTGCTCAACTAATTATTATGTGTAGTTTTAAAATTTATCAAGTATTGATCTTGACGGGCTTATAAAAATTTTTATTAACACGACGTTTTGGACCGTCTCCTATGATCAGTAGAACGACCAGGAAACGGTCCAAAACGTCGTTTAAATAGAAATTTTCAACACCAATCAAATGTTTTTATTTTGTTTCAAAATATTTTTATAAGTCGTGTCAAGATCAATACTTGAAAAATTTTACATTTTACATGGATACTTGTCAATTTTTATTAATGCTTGTTATCACCTGTGTAACTTCCCCAATGCATTGAAAAGAACCCAGCTGATTGTAATTTCAAGACCCTGGGGTAGGACCCAAATACGGGAAAATAAGTGTTTTCCGGTATTCTCTAAAATTACTGAAAGAACGATCCAAACAAAATTAAATCAAATAATCCCAGTCAAGTCTTTTATCAGAAGCCAGTTTAGTCAGAACACCAGTTTGGATTTAGAAGTAAACCACTACCACTGAGTAGGTGAATAGTGAAGAAGTTCTACTGCAATGCGGTATTTTTTTCTCTCTATAGCTTCTTCCTGAGAAGGTCTGTGGGAGGCTATATAGCCCATACGCAGGAGAGATTTTATTACCCCCTCCCCACTATCTCGCATTTGCCCAGGCCTGAGGACCTATAGGGCAATGTAAACCTGGGAGTGTACGTAGTACTTAAGTATTGAGGGCACACCCTCCTTCTCCATCTTTCAGGAAAAGCCTGCTCCGAAACAACCGGAGCACATTAATTTTTCATACCACTGAATGACAATCGAAAAAATCTGAGTACTCTCTCTAGGATTCGAACCCATGGCCTCTCGAACGGACGTTGTTTCGATGCCTAGCTACGCTACGCACCGAGCCAACGACCGTTTATTTTTGAACGTAATTCAGGCCTTCGACAGGGTTTGGCGCGAAGTCCTGATCTACAAGCTAAAGACCCTCCTGCCTGTGAAATTGAGTAGATACTTGGGGGTTCGCTTAGCAAAAGTACCGCGGATAATAAGACCTTACTCTTATGGGAAATGGGGGGTTACGTTTGTCATCACGGTTGTTCTTGAGAAAAAATCGTGCCTGTTGCATTTTTATACGTGTCTCATAGTCAAATTTGTTATAATGATTCTTATTGCTAGCTGTGCGCTTGAAGTTTTCCAGAACCGTGTAGCGTATGTCGTTCGCCACATTTTTTTCGTTTTCTTTCAACTTCAAAGCGCTAATGCACGACTCAAGGTTTTCGATGGCTTCAACGGTGTTTCTCGTTCGCCACTGTGTTGGTTCGTTGAATTTCGGGCCAGGTGACAAAATATCTGTTACCTCTTCTGGGATCTCCGTTTTTGTTAGATTAATCAACCAGTTTTGTCCGTACTGGATTGCGTAGTCGTAGATTTAGAAGCACTTAGTTTTTCAAATTTCTTATTTACGCTCTGTAGTGCATTGTTGTAGATGAAGTCACACTTTGTGTTCGTCGAACTATAAAAATTACACAGTAATCTCGACCTTTCCGTCGGGAGGCCGAGATGGTCAATCCGTTGACGGAGTCTGTTGATCAGTCTGTACAGTTCTCCACGTTTTATGTGGATATCGTCAATCAGTTAGTTGAGCCATTTTCTGTTCAGCATGTCTAGAACTGATTGACTCTTGGTCTTACATACATTGCTAGTAGAAGCATATAATGTTCTTGAACTGATTTTTCAAATATGGTGGTACCAGTCGGGGAAGTCTACACGCACTAAAAAACCACTTTTTCGCGTTAGTTTTGGCCAAGTCAGATCTCCACTTTTGCCAATTTTTGAGACATCTCAGTGTCTTAATACCATATGTTGCTTTTATGCGTTTGAAAATAGTTATATTGTTAGAACTGTCACTTGAACTTCTGCCCGATTTCAACCGAGGGCCGGTGGAACTCATAATGAAATCGTTACGCTTTTTTTGGGTATTTGTCAATAAGAATAAAACAGCGATAAAGGCTGTGCCAACACACTGAATAAAAAAGAAGACCTTAAAGATTTAAACAATCTTTATTTTAACATTTTATATTGTTTACCATCAGTTGCTTATTATTGTTATTGACATCTCGGTAACTGTCTATATGTAATATCGGTAGATACGAACACATCAGTCCTGAAGAGGCCGACAAAGTGGTCGGCGAAACGTCGACTAGGGGACAAGAAGTGTGTGATTGTACACTCTCGCCCACCGCCTATTTTCTAATGAAATTTGACTTTGGCACCGCCTTCATCGCTGTTTTATTCTTATTGACATATGATAATCATATGTAGGGCCAGAGGTAGTGTATTATACGTTTTTATGTTAGTTTGTTTGTATCAGAAGTTCTCCCAGGGTTTTGTAGGTAAAGAGCTCTGCGAGAAATCAAACGTTTTAAAACAAATGAGAGATAATGATTTCAATAGACATTCTTAGACAAAGAAGGAGATACAAACCAAGAACGGCCACGTTTATGATTATTCCTGATTTATCTACATTTTTAACCTTAAAGAGGATTTCAAACTTATCATTAAATCATCATTTTTTTATAACACTTAACTGATATTTTGATCTCTGCAATCATGAAGTGAACGTTTCTATGGTGAAAGATCAGTTCTTTTTAGAATTATTAATTTGAAAAACATTACAATATATTTTTATAAATACATAAATTAAATAATTGTTATGATATTGTTCAGGTGGAAGATAATAATGCATCTGACGCACTTGATATGAGCTGGCCAAGTACTTCAAAAAAGCGAATGACTTACATTTTAGTAGCACCTATTCTTTTTCCGTTATGGCTAACCTTACCAGACACTAGAACACCAAAAGGTATTATAATTTAATTATATCACAATTTGGTCATTTTCTTTTATTCTAATAGAATTTAGAAATATCAAATGAAATATATTAAATACCATTACTTTAAGAAATTTTTAATTTTGGAAATCATTCAGTTAAATATTTAATGATTTCAATTATTTATTATTCACCAGAGCCTTGCAAAAGTATATACATCAAAGTTCTATTCCCAGACAATGGAAATATCTGCCCCTTGGTGCAGAGCCTTGTACCCTTAAGAGCCTTTGTTAGCATTGAGATGCAGATATTTTTCATCTAAATGTAAACACCAACGACGGCTCTCCCTCTCACATTAGTTGATACTATATAAGTAAATCTGATAAAATTTTAATTCTTTTTTGTTGAAACTTACAAAAATTTAAAAACCAGAACAAAATGCCCATTGAATTCGAGTAACGGCTTTTGAAGATTTGACAAAGTTTTAATGTATGTAAATACACCAGGTGGCCTAAGTCTAGAAGATTCAGTTATGTCACAGACTTGGAGCGAGCTATAGCATCGAGTGAGCTCTCTTGATATATACAATAAAGCAACTACACTTTACATTCCAGTTATAAATTGTGTTTTACCTTTATTTGCTCCTTTATTCTCTTATATAACAGTGGTGACGAGGATGGGATATAATTGACTCACCAGACTCGTCACTAGACTTAGGCCGCTTGGTGTATTTACCAACATTACACCATATATAAATTTTTTAGCAAATATGTACTGCTAAAAAGAACTCAGCGTTATTTTTTTCTAAACGTCAAAATCTAAAACTGACATTACTAATTAAAATTATTTCATGATATCATCTTCACTCAACAGATCAAAATATTAATAATATGAAACTATCAACTTGCCATGCTAAATTCATGTAAAATGCACTCAAAATCCACAATGAGCACGGGCAAAGCCCGTGTTTATATTGGTATACTCGGTTGAGTATACAATATAACTCGCTTGAGTCAAATTTTTCTAAGAAGTGAAATGGGCTCGAGTAATAATGCATACAGTGCCCAGAAATGATGATCTTCGTTATATTGAAGGGGAATTTAACGCCAATATTTAGACGTTTTATGCTTATAAAGCTTTTCAAATTGTTTACTTCATATCAGCATGAGAGGAAATGGCCAAGAAGGCCTTCTTATTTAGACCTACTATTTTCCTCTTTCTACGAGTAGCTTACAGTGTAAATTGGGAGAGGAGGAAAGGGGGAAGATAAGCTAGAGAATAAGCTATCAACAATTGGTAATTTTTAAAAATATTAAATTTTGAACAAAGTTTGCCTAAGTCTGAAAAAATAGCTTTACCGGCTTAGTTTGAAAGAACAAAAAATACTTTCTTTTACTGATTCAGAGTTATAACTACAGGTTTTTTTGTCTAAATTAATCTTAAATTAGAAAAAAATAACAATTTTAGAGTGCGAAGCTCTGTATTCTTTTTATGATTAAAATAAGTTTAAGATTTTTTCGGTTATGTTATGAACAGTAATATAAGTATGCTCTAAATGGAATCTTACTTCATAGCTATAACGGTTGGCCTAGTGGGGGTACACGTTATGTATCCGAGCATTAGCTCGGAAGATTAATTTTTACCGCGGCGGAGTTGTCCGTAATATTGTAGGCAAGGATGATCACCCAGTGGGCGAAGAGAAAACGCATTCAAGTAAAATATACGGTAATTTTTATTGAAAGATAATTTAAGTTAAGAATTAAATTGAATTATGACCATTTATCCCGACCGCGAGTCGCGTAGCAGCAGCAGAGCGAAGGAGGGAGCGTAAGGATAGCTCGTCGTCGAATATTTCGTGAAAACACGGGTCTCGCAAGTGTTGCAGCGCGATGCTAATTCCACGAGAGCCAAAACAGATCTGAACTTGTGAACGCAGTTCGCGAATTTACAGGGGACTATTTCTCTACAATACATCCGTGCGTGCTGTCATCATACGCGTATCGAACGATCGTTAAGATTAAATACTTAAAGATACTACGCGATGTAAATCATATTATTTCAACTTCTGGAGAGTCGCAACGAGCTATACGCTGTAGCTGTTACATAGCTTTAAAACTTTTTAGAGTTTTAATTAAGTTAAACTGACTAGCTTTAGTACTACGCTTTGCTAGTTTTTGGAGCAGATTGAATAACCTTAGTTTCGTTAATATTATTATTAAGAATGGGCTCTTAATCAGGAAAAAATTCCTCAAAATTACATGAACCTCGTCGCTAACTATAACCTCACTAATTGCTTATAACTATAAAAGTACTCATGATAAAATTGTTGCGCCTTTTTGGTAAATGTCAATACAAATAAAACAGCGATAAAGGCGGTGCCAAAGTCAAATTTATCAAAACAGGCGGTGGGCGAGAGTGTGTAATCACACACTACCTCGTCACCTAGTCGACGTTTCGCCGACCACTTTGTCGGCCTCTTCAGGACTGTTGTGTATGTGACTACCGATATTATATATAGGCAGTTACCGCGATGTCAATAACAATAATAATAATAAGCAATCGATGGTAAACAATATGAAACTGAGGCGTCGAGTGTGTATAAAATCATTAGAATTACTTAATATATTTCAAGATGTTAAAATAAAGATTGTTTAAATCTTTAAGGTCTTCTTTTTTATTAAGTGTGTTGGGCGTGTCATTGATAAAAATCATTTCCGATATGGTTCTACGTTGGTAGTTCGGCTCTTGGTCTAAAATTTTTACATTTGCCCAGTCCATGTTGTGTCCTTCTTTTTTGGCGATATGCGCTGCGACTGCCGATTTCTCACTGTCTGCGTTCTTGTGTTCGTTCATGCGGATTTTTAGCTTCCTTTTTGTTTGGCCCACGTAGCTTTTGGTGCAGTTCATGCATTTCAAATGGTATACCACTCCTGTTTTTTCAAGCTTGTCGATCTTGTCTTTTCCTAGGGTAATGAGCGAAGTGAGCGATTCGCTTTTAGTCGGAATGACCTTGATGTTGTATTTTCTAAGCATGTTGGCACATTTGTCGTAGAAGTGGTCGATGTGTGGTAATTTTAAAATTGCCTTGCATGTCGGATTGGGTCCGATTGTGTGTGAGTCAGGTTTGAAATGCTTGAGGGTCCACATTCTTTTGAAAATATGTCGATTGACGAAGGCTGATGGATAATCGTTGTCTCTCAAGAGGTTTCGCACTTTTTCGATTTTCTTGGCGTGAAACTGCTGATCTGATAGTTTCGTTGCTCTGTCAACTAAGTTGTAAATGATGTTAATTTTTTGTTGAGTTGAGTGTCGTGAATGGTATGAGAGTAGTCACGTGGTGTTTGATGGTTTTTGGTACCAATCTAAAAGCAGCCTGCCGTTGTCGTTTATCAAAGACATGTCAAGGAAGTTGAGCTTTTTATCTTGTTCGACTTCGTGTGTAAACTTCAATTTTTCATTGTAAGAGTTCAATACGCTCACCGTCAGTTCGATGTCCTTTTTGTTGATGCATAAGATGGTGTCATCGACGTATCTGTAGTAAAACAGTGGTGTGCCTCCGCGCTGTTTCAGTACGCTCAAACAGTGCTTCTCTAAATCCTCCATCACTAAGTCTGCAGCTAATGAGGAGATGCAGCTTCCCATCGGTGTCCCGTAGGTTTGTCGGTAAAATACGTTATTGAATTTAAAATAGGTGTTGTTGAATAAGAAAGTCATGACTTTGTCAAACGATAAGCGGGACTTGGAGAGGTCAGAGTAGCGTATGTCTAGGCTTTCAAGTACAAGGTTTAGCAGCACGTTCGTGAATAACGATACGATGTCTAGTGAGACGAGCACATAATCTGTTGGTAATGAGATGTTGGCGATTTTACTCTTGAAGTCGAAGCTGTTGTCGACGTGGGAAGCTGGTGGTTTGACGACAGGTGACAGTTCTTCGTAAAAAATCTTGGCGAGCACATACGTTGAGCTACCTACCAAAGTTATAATAGGACGTAGCGGCACGTCCTTCTTATGAATCTTCGGTAAGACGTATGCCCTCGCTAAAGATGTGCCACTAAGTGATAGCTGCAAAACACTAAGGTTTCTGTCACACTCTTTGTTGACTTCTTTCAAGAGTAGTTTCATCCTCGTTTGTAAACTCTCAAATGGGTCGCGGTCGATTTTTTCATAGGTCTCATTGTCGTTCAAGAGTGTCGTCATTTTTTCTATATAATCGTCTACCTGCATGCAAACTGTGGCGTTACCTTTGTCGGCTTTCGTAAAAAATAAATGTTTGTTGTTTTTGAGAAAGGATCGTGCTTGTTGCATTTTTTTGTGTGTCTCGTAGTCAAATTTGTTATAATGATTCTTATTGCTAGCTGTGCGCTTGAAGTTTTCCGGAACCGTGCAGCCTATGTCTTTCGCCACATTTTTTTCCTCTTCTTTTAACTTCAACGCGCTGATACAGGACTCGAGGTTTTTGACGGTTTCAACGGCGTTTCTCGTACACCATTGTGATGGTACGTTGAATTTTGGACCGCGTGACAAGATGTCTGCTACCTCTGCTGAGATCTCGGTTTTTGTTAGATTAATCAACCAGTTCTTTTTATCCGTGCTGGATTGCGTATTCGCAGATTTTGAGGCACTTAGCTTTTCAAATTTCTTTTTTACACTCTGTAGCGCATTGTTGTAGATGAAGTCACACTTTGAGTTTGTCGAACTATAAAAATTACACAAGGTCTCCGTCGGGAGGCCGAGATGGTCGATCCGCTGACGAAGTTATTATTATTGTTATTGACATTGCGATAACTGCCTATATATAATATCGGTAGTCACATACACAACAGTCCTGAAGAGGCCGACAAAGTGGTCGGCGAAACGTCGACTAGGTGACGAGGTAGTGTGTGATTACACACTCTCGCCCACCGCCTGTTTTAATAAATTTGACTTTGGCACCGCCTTTATCGCTGTTTTATTTGTATTGACATATAAAAGTACTATACGACCATTCAGGTCATATGTCTTTTGGCTTTGCAAGCCTATTTTAGCGCATAGAAGGTCTCGGTTGTCTGTTCCAGCTGGGTGAAAGAAAAAAAACCTAGTAGAATCACATTCTCTTACTCAAAGAAACATATACTCAATATTAACAATAACGATTAATCGTTTCATTTTTACTCAATTAACATGACGTCCTCCAATAGAAGACTAAATACACGGTCGACCAGAGACGCAACGATTGTAGCTCTGACGGGCACGTCGACACTCACAAACACAACGACTAAGGGCTGGGCCACCCGACTCACCACTTGCTGTCAAGATCTTCTCCTAGGATGATTAGGCCGTCCACTGTTCTTCATTTCGTTCCTCTATGGAACCTACCTGTTTACTCTCTCACACTCGAATTGACTCATACCGACACTCACACCTCTCGCTCGGACTACTTAACTTTCCATGAGTAATGAATTTTGAGCAATTAATTGAGGTTCCATAGTACCTTTCCCCCTTAAGCTACATTCACTTATTTCTAATAGGCCTTCGGTTTTTTATTAAAACATTTCCCCAACCTACCAGCTCGAGCAATTTTTGGAAGATTTTTGGTTTAGAAATTGGCCCTTAATCCATTAATGTCAATATTGTAACTTTATTCTTAAACATATATATGGAATGAGTATCAAACTCACAAGTCAAAAATTATCAGCTTGATTTTACTCTCGAAATATTTTTTATCATCAGACAATCTACGTCAATTCTTCTTATTTTACCTCAAGCGTGTTAAGTCCAAAAAGTAACATTCAATCTGAGTATGTATTACTAATTTTAATTCCTACTCAGTTTAAAAATAATTTTTTTGACATATCACGCTTGACGTGAAATAGCCCACTACAATAATTTATCAACGTGAAATTGATGCCAGCCTCACAATGATCCCACTTTGAATCAATGACTATTCATAGTGTATATTATCATAGAAATCCACTTAACTTTTACCAACAGACTACCATAATAAAACATCGTCTGGGAAGATATTGTTAGATCCTACCATGTAGCCTTTTACGTTTGTATACTTTTCAATAAGTCAATTTTAAAGCAGTTAAAATCAACGAAAATAATTGAGCAATCACGACTCGCAGGAACTTGCAATATGCAGACATTTATTATGCGAGGATCGGTCAAATCTGGGAAAGTCCCACGATCGCGTGGAAGCGCGAATAAAAGGTATGTTGCGTAAGACTCTCGAGGAACAGTTGTAAAAAGGACTAGTCTTCCGTCACGTGCACAGGACATGGTAAAGGCAGATCATGGGAAATAGTCATCTATTTCCAAAGGTCAAGTCGCCCTCTCAGAGCTGTTCCATAATAGCATCAGAGGTGGGATAGAACACCAAGGGACATAAAACCTCCCGAAATCGAGAGGAGCCCTCTCCGTTGTACGACCAATTTCGTAAAGTGCGTATCGCTTAGTTTGTTTGTGATGACGGTTGTACAAAAAAATTTATAATTCGCCAGCAAAAAGTGTTAACCAATGCTGTACTTCTGCTCAAGCAGATGGTCAGCAATTGGACTTAAAATATTGTGTTATTTCCGGGTGAGTCGTGCGAATAATTTATTGTAACTACATAAGTGCATCTGTGCGATTCAGTCTTTAGCGAGACCTCAACTAGCTAAGTGCTCCCTTGGGATATTGCAAGCAGACAACGACGTCACCAGGCAAGCGACATCACAGGCAGCCAACGACCTTACACAGTGAAAACACCAATGCAAGAATAAGTATGCGTGTGTGTATGATCTGTAGCGAACAATGACACTTGTTAACTATCATTACAAAAAATTATTGTTTTAAACAATACCGATGCAAATTATAATATAAAAATACTACCAAAAATAGTCCTCTTTTATTACCACTCCACCTCCGCAACAAGAGTAGAAAGAACTAATCTTTATTTGTTTTAACACCGCTATACGCGTATGTAACCATATCTTCAAAAATTTTTTTTGTGTGACTCAAAACATTTTCATATGAAATTTAGCGAGAACGTACGAAAATAATAAGAAACGATCGAATCGCTTTAATTTATTATAAATACACTTTTATAGAAAAGCATATAATTTATTTACACTTATAAAAAAGTATATTATTATCTTTATATTTACAACACTGGAGTTTTGCAGGCAGAAAATTTTTTCCTGTTACATTCATAGGGTCCATTTTTTGGATTGCTGCTTACTCATATCTAATGGTTTGGTGGGCCAACATAGCTGGTGACACAGTAAAAATTCCCCCAGAAGTAATGGGGCTTACATTTTTAGCAGCTGGCACAAGTATTCCCGACTTAATTACTAGCGTTATTGTAGCAAGAAAGGGATTTGGTGATATGGCGATATCTAGTTCAGTGGGCAGTAACATTTTTGATGTTACAGTTGGGTAAGTTTTGTTATTTTAATAAAAAATTATATGAAAATTATGTTAAAAAAGCTTATTAGTTAAAATTAGTTAGAATCAGGTTCGTAATAGTAAGCAACAATATTCATTTAATTGTGTTGTCACGGGGTCGCGATGAAGGCTCCGTTCATCGTTGTTAACTTTTTAGGATACGAAGTGAGAGGAGGTGATGACCCTATCAAAAAAAGTCAGATGATAAATCTTTTTTTTTTTTTTATTATATTAAAGTGCTTTTACCTGGCAAGGCATCTGCACTTACTTTATTTAACAATTATAACTGGAAAATTACAAAATTAGAAAATAGAACAAATATTTTACAAATTATAACCTTAATTTTACAAATGTTTTCTCGCTTATCAGACTCGCAGTCCACATACGCCGAAAAACTCGCAGAGTATCAGGCACGCCTTTATATTGGGGCGAGCAATGATACATTCCACGTTCAGTGGAGGGTGTACCTTGATATTTTTCAATTTCCCGAGCATTTCCTTTCTCTGTTTATCATAGAGCCGGCAGTTCCAAAGAACGTGATTCACGTTTTCGTCTTCGCGACCACACCTGCAGCGTGAGTCTGAGATGATGTTCTTTCTCTCAAGTGACTCAGCTAGGCTGGTGTGGTTGGCTCGCATTCTATTTATAGTGACGATGTGCTGTCGGGATAGCTTCATCCCGGAGAACCATGGGGTCGAGCGAGTGCTATGGAAATACGCGAAGTATTGTCTTCCTTTATGTTGTCCATCCGCCTCGTTCTTTCCGTTGCTGTTATTTTTGGCCGTGCGTGCAAAGCTTTCCGATAAATCCGAAAAAGGGACCAGAGCCGACTGTAGGGGCTGTTCCCGAGTAGCCTCCTTGGCCACGGCGTCCACCACCTCATTGCCCACGATGCCCATGTGTGCCGGAATCCACAGCAGCTTCACCTCCCTGCTCGGGTTCTCGGCTGCATACCTTGCCAAGCGCTCTCTGATGTTGAGGATTAGCGTTGATGTTTTGGCGCCTAATTTCGGTGTTTGTATGCTGAGCAATGCGCTGAGAGAGTCGGAGACGATTATCGATTTGGAGTCGTCCCGCCCCTCAATGTAGTCGAGAGCTTCGATAATTGCGTGGCACTCAGCCGTGAAAATAGAGCAATGCGGGTTCAAGCTTCCGGACGCTCTATGCCCAGTTACCGGGCAGAAAATTCCGTAACCAACGCTTGTCGCGTCCTTGATCTTACTGCCATCAGTGAAAATGGGCATCGCACTCTCTGATCTCAAGTGCTCGCTAGATGATAAATCAGATGATTAATCATGTGATAAGTCAGATGATTTATCATTTTAGCTTTTGAATACTCTATAATAATGCAAATTCAGTCTTCGAAAACCAAATTGAAAGTTTCAGTGATATGATTATGTACTAACAAGAAGACCACCCCACCTCCGGGTCATGGATTTGCTCCAAAATTTGTTTGGGTTCTCCTGGTACCCCATACTGAAGTTCCCTGTACTTAGTTTGATCTCATCGGGTGTAGAAGTATGTAAGTATAGCAAAAAGGCTCACGGAAACAGCTGTATCTCAGTGCAAATTAAAATTTTGGAATGTCGAAAAATGCAATGGAAAGGGACGGAAAAATCCTATTCAAAAATTGAATGAAAAAAATTTTGAATTTAAGGTATATATAAGCCTTTAAGTAGAGCTGAGCAAAGCTTATCTACTATGGCGACCTCGTCGAGGTCTCTGATCTCGATGAGGCTGGTTCGAGGGCGAGCGCTTGTAGTAGCCAACTCACACAGTGCTTCGTCAAATGTTTGACATATTTCCTGGGTGTTGCCCAAAGCCTTCTTAAGTTATAGTAGGAGATCCCCAGTAGCACTACGTCTGATCTTGTTGATTTTGGTGCCAACCGGATTTTGCAAGTTCCGCTCGGTCCTTAGACGCTTGAGAAAAACGGCGTAGGAGTAGGGTATTTGGCCCCTATTATCGCTACATCAAGGCGGGGGCATTCGAGTGCTGCTTTCTTATGCTTTCGAGCGTGGGTCTTTGCTCCTTTGCTGCCTTGTCTGGGCTTTTTGCCACTCGCCACCGTCGATATTTATGGCATCAGCTGCCCTGGTTTTAGACAGGCACCGTGGTGCTAGCCGTCTTGGGATCTAACAATTGAGCATTGTGGGCTTTACCCTGCTACTTTACCTGTGATTTCTATTTGGGTTACTTGGGTTACTTGCCAACGTTAGTAACGGTGAAGTCTAGGTCGTTCTTCCAATTCTTTTCGGGTGAGAAATTTTCAAGACGTTATTAAGGAAGTTATGGTATACCGTGAAAATCGCCTTGACCTTCCTTATCATTTTACGAGTGGCTTATAGAAGTTATCATAATAAAATTTTACTTATGCCTTCGTGAACTATTATATAAAATTGTTACGGCAGCATAAGGCTGTACCCTCTCCTATGACGCTGCGTCAACCAAATAAAAAATTTCGAAACAAGTAAATAATTCACACAATTCTTCACTTGTCACTCAGATTGTCACAGAAGTTAAAATTTATTTAAAACAAAAAAAAATTCATGCAGTCCTGATGAGGCTGAGTACCAAAGCAGCGAAACGTTGATATGTATTATTATACTTATTTTATTTTTTTTGTTTTCAATAAATTTTAACTTCTGTGACGATCTGAGTGACAAGTGAAAAATTGTGTGAATTATTCATTTGTTCCGGAATTTTTTATTTGTTTGAAGCAGCGTCACAGGAAAGGGTACAGCCGTATACTGCCGTAACAATTTTATATAATTATGGAGGTTATGCCTACCCTTTATAAACTCTGTCATCTGTTCAAAGATTCTATCGAGACGAGTCAAACAATCAGCGGTGTTGCCGGTAAGCTCTGATCTCAGAGACTCCAGATCTGTTGATATTTGATTGCAGATGAGAGATTTGAGATCCAAGCTATAGTTATTTTTTTCGTCCAGGTATATGCCCAACCCATCTAGATCCCCCGTCTACGAAGGCAGCTGGGATGGTTCCAAAACATGACTCAAAGTGATACTAGACCGGGTCATCATACACACAACGCTAGCTTACCTCCACTGTCTTGAGCTTCCGATCCCGAACGAAAGTGGTTAGCTCTCTGGAGAGTGTCTGGTAAGCATCGCGCAATGCGATGAATTCGCCAAGCTGATTGACTGATTTCGGCTAAGAATCGGCCACCCACCTGGCCGATAGCGAGAGCCAAAGATGGTTTGGGTCACGATAACCTGCAGCATCGGATAGTTTCTCCACCCAGCATCTCCTTTTGTCAGCTCACGGGTTGCATCGGTAGTTATCATCACAGGAATCCTTGCAAGGTTCTAACATTCGGGTCAGATGTGCCTTGGTTTTTTAACGAGATTGTGAATTGTTTCCCTTCTCCTTGTTCAAATGGTAAGGAGCAGGACTTGTAATCGACTGATCACCTGTTCAAATCCACTTTTGTGGAGAAAAATTTAAACTTTTCATCATTGAAAAAAATTGTTATGTAATGTGTCATCAATTATTTCCAAGGTATTTTCATTTATAATTTATTTTTTATTATTTAAACTCAATTTTTTTCTTGCTTCAGAACTGTCATCAAATCTAATCTAGATTCTGATGTTGATTTTATATTGTATGCGAAATCAACATCAGTTCTAACATCGATAATCACCAGGGTAGTTAGTAAAAGTTAGACTAGTATTAAACTATAAAATAATCATTAATACTTTAGTGTAAGTGAAATAATATTTATCCTCTTCTGTCCAAAATATGCACAAAGCTGGCGAAGAAAATATTTTTTTATGCCAAAATTGCAACTATGATTACTGTTAATGAACTATACTTGAAACCTTCTTTTTTTCTAATTACCCTTATGAGTTAGTTTGCATTTACTTTGCTCTTTTGAGAAAAAATATGCACTGCTTCCAAACATTTTGTACATCTATTGTACGATCTCTAGATGTAAACATTCGCCACAACAATAGGGCCATGCGTGCGTGGCCATTTTAACTCGGCGAATTAAGCTCATGTCACAACACACATGCACGTTGAGAGCGTAGCACGACCGTAGTAGTAAATTGCTACAACTGTAGTTGTATTGAAATACAACAAAGTTACGTTGATCAATACAGGTTCCGACTATAACCCTTCCTCCACCTCATCCTAGAAACGTCCCTAGTAACGAGAGAGAATCATTCAGGAGCCTGAAATGAGATCGGCGTACTCATGTGTTATTTAAGCGGGTCGAAATGTGTGTGTCACGTGCACAGCGAGCGAAATTGCAATACTCGTGTAAGCGAGAGAAAACAGAGGACAGCATCGGTGAAGATTGAGCTGAGTGTAATTTAAAGGATGCAAGTGAGCGTTGGACTGATCACTCTGTGTTGGCACGAGTGACTGGAAGGTCGATTATCCAATCCCCGCGATTCCGAGTGTGAGCTGTTCTTGGAGAGGACTTGGCTGGCCTTACTCATCTGCCCGCGCTGTGTAAGATCCGGACATGGCCCAACTAGTCAACCATTGCGAGAATCTAACTGTAAATCACCGTTGCTTTATCGCTACGCATTGCGCCACTATTATTGTAGTTATTTGGCTCTATCTCTTTTGATCATCATCCGAATCTTAACCCTGTTTCTACGACCCGTCATCGTCTACGTATAGCCTAGCCAAGGTGGCACGAAGCTGTATTATTGAACTGTAACGGTTATTCGGGAACTAATAATTAATTAATCATTATCTATTTAGCTAATGTAACTTTGTATTTTCTGTAAATATTCAAGATTTAGGCGTCCCATCTGTGACTGGCGCTCTTTTCAATGAAAGCCTAATTATTGTTATTACACGATTGTATAATACACATTAACATTCGGAAAGTTCCCTGTTGATTCACCTGTTTACAGGTATCTACGAAAATCATCCTGAATAGACGTACCCTACTGGAGGTGCATGCCATTACATATTATTGAGCAGTTTTTGATGTGAAACATCTTTAGCAGCGT